AGTAAAAGTTGCCACAGGATAAGATGAATTCAAAGTAGGTATTACCTCAGTGAAATTGTGTGCTGTGATGTCATTGTAAAACTGGAAGAAAGCCTCAGGGCAGATTTCACAAATCTAATCCTCATTTAAAGGGATTGCATGAAGGTGTAGAATATGTTGCACATTAATAATACATCAGTAAACATTTGTGGGATGTTTACTCCATGCAACTTAGAAGATATCTCTTCCACACTAAATGTTCACACCAATCCTGAATTAACTCCCTCCTTCCATTATTCCATGCTGCCCATTTGTTTGTAGTATTAGAGCCAATTTTCTTCAGGGTTAATTGCAGTAAAAGTGGATGTGCTTTGAGACTGGTTTTTAGCTGAAAATACTGAAGCTTTGAAAGCTTTGGGGATGTGCTATTCCTGGCTCCTATACAACTGGCCTGATAGGTCCTTTAAATGGAATGTTGGCTTGGCAGCTTTGCATCTGCCTTAATCACAGTAGACCAAACTAATCAGTGAGGATAACTTTGTAATATGTCCTGAGAGTAGTGAAATATGTTCAGCTGGTTGGTTTTTTGTTGTAGTGGTTCTTTGGAGAAGATATGAGAATTATTATGGTTGTTGCTGTGGCCTATTGGAGCAGTGTGGTGATGTTTGTCCTTGTTCGCAATGTTTCTGGGTCAGCAAATTTAAGACAGTTGCTGTACATTTTTGAATTGCATTTGAGAGACATGAGAGTAGAATAGACAGCAGTATAGAAGTGCCATCGTCCAAAGTCAAGAAATTATACTAAAAGTTGTACTGTTGCAGTTCCATTGCTAAAGAGGCAATGGAAAATAGCAGGGATTTGGCACTGGTGATCATAGTGGTTAACCATACTAGTTCAGTAGGACATGATATGAGCAATCTATAATGACATGCTTACCACACTCGTCTCTTTTTCCTTATCTTGCTCCTCATATATAGATTGTCTTAGATATTTTTCTTAAGGCAAAAATAGCACCATATCACTGTAAGGACTAAGCAGTGCACTTTGGTCTTTGAGTTATGAAGCTCTTTGTGGATTTGAAGTTTACCTGCTGGCAGCTGCAAGAAATAGAGAGGCTAATTGTGTGAGAGACTAGCCAATTGTTTCATCTAAGCTGGAATCACACCCACAATTTGTAAAGCAAAAGAACAAAAGGAAGCTTGGGTTAGGGAACTACGAAGGCAGGATAGCAATGGCTGATTCCAGGGAAATATAATCAGAAGGGTAACCATCTTGAATACTCATAGGACACTGAGCAACATAAAATCTCAACAGATTTATAAAGATAGTGGATATTTTTCAGGGCACTAGATTTCATAAAGACCTTTCAAATATGTCATTAAAATATGAAAACCTATTGGGGAAAATAAACTGGATAGAAGTAATGTAGTGTGGGAAAATGGACTAAAACTCTCTCCCTCCCTTCCTTCCCTTCCCTCCCTCCCTCCCTTCTCTCCCTGCACCCTGTGAAAGACTAAGGGATTCCAAAATTCCTTTCCATCCACCATGATGTCTAGATAGCTCACACAAAATATTGAATTTTATAGGAGTTCCCACCAAGATTTGTGAGAAATTTTGGTACAACTTGGTGCATGTTGTCCCTAATAAAACTGAGTGTACATGTTTGCAGGTTCCCCCAACATCAAAGATTACAACTTAAATGTCGCTGAAGCAGTACCACATTCTTCTTGTTTTTCCTCCTTTCTTTCCTCCCTAAATTTCAACTGCTTTACTAGAAGAATTATTAGAAAACATGAATGCTTGAAGTTACTTTGGAAACATTTTCTGGCCTAATAAAGATATTGCTCCAATTAACTTTTCCCCTCTCATAGCTAAGCCAGCTGATGCATTCAGTTAAGTGTAACATGTAGTGAGCTCTGACAATGCAAAAGATGCAGAGGTTTCCTGAATGCCAAACTCAAATTATTGTAGTTGTGTTCCTCTGTTTTTGAGAAGCCAAGGACAATTGCTGAAACTGGTTGTTGTCCTCATAAAAGTTCAGGGTAGAAGTCACTATTTCTTTCCTCTCCACTTACACTGCCAAGCTTCCTGTTTGTTTGCTTTTGCCAGCTGTCATTGGTCTTTGGCCACATTCAGTTGTGAATAAGCACTAGTTGGATAGAATTAATGTATAAAGCTGGATGTTCTTTAAGGTCATCATGTGTGATTTCCCCCTTATCTTAGAAAAGTTTTTTTCCCCAACCTCATGTTTTCCAGGTGTGACAAAAATTACCATCCCCATCATCCAGTAGCTATACATAGAATCTTGAATCTCCACGTGTTATAAGAGAGAGAGAGAGAGAGAGAGAGANGGCTGTGTTTATTGTTTAATGTTATATGGCCCCGGTTATGCACAGTATATATGTTACTGTACGAAAATGAAAATGGAAAATAAAAAACACATTTATAACCAAAAACAAACAAACAATAGAAGAGTATGGAGAAGTGGCAGGATTGAAAATTAATAAAGATAAAACAAACATTCTAGTGAAAAACATAACAGAAAAACAGAAAGGCGAAATAACGGAGAAACTAGATATTCAAATAGTAAACAAGTGAAATATTTAGGGATACAGCTGACTTCAAGATGTGTAACCATTAACGAAGATAACTATTATAAATTAAGAAATCAAATTGAAATGGATGTAGAGAAATGGAAAAACTTACAGCTATCATTAATGGGAAGAATAGTGGTAATTAAGAAGCGTATATTACCAAGAATATTATTTTTATTTCAAACAATACCGATAAAATTGGAATTGCTTCCCTGAAAAACTAAATAAAATAATAGGAAAATATATCTGGCATGGAAAGAAAGCGAGAATTAATATAAGAATATTACATGATTCAAGGATTAGAGGTGGATTTGGTGTACCAAATTGGAATTATACTACCAAGCAGCAGCTTTAATGTAGATAAAAGAATGGATATTGTTAAGAAATGAAAGGTTATTATCCTTGCAGGGATATCATATGCAACTGGGTTGGCACACATTTTTGTGGTATGGGAAAGAATATATGGTTACTTTCAGAGACACTATGTAAGAAATGGTTTATACACAGTATAGGAAAAAGTGAAAGAAAAGCACTATATGGAAATGCCAATGTGGTTTTCAACGGTGGAAGCTCCGACATATCCGAATATTAGTAGTATGAAAAAGTTTATTAGATACAAAGATATACTAACAGCACAGAGAGAACTGAAACAGAAGAAAGAATTAGAAGAACAAGGGATATAGGATGGTTTAAACAAATGCAAATACAAACAAGATATGAGAAGGATGTTAAAGAGTATGATTTTAATATGGAAAATTCAGAACTAGATAAAATACTCATGGGAATGTATGAAAGAATGATTAAAAATTGTATAGTTATTTACTCAGAATAAATTTAGAAGAAGAAGAGGTTAAAGAAACAATGATAAGATCGGCAAAAAACTTTGGATATACAATAGAACTAGAAAAATGGCAACAACAATGGGAAAGAAACTATAAATTGACAATGGTGACAGCATTGAGAGGCACTCCCCCCCCCATTTTTAAATGCTTTTTTTGCCCTCCCCAGGCTCCAGAGGATTTATAGGAGCCTGGGGAGGGCGATGAGCCTCCCTACACCACCACCCCCCGGAGGCCCTCTGTAGGCTTCAGGGACCTTCAGGAGGCTTCCCTGAAGCCTCCAGAAGGCAAAAAATGACCCTGCCCTTCCCTGAACCTTCCGGAGGGCTTAAACCGATCCTATGAGCAAACCAGAAGTCACTTGGTTTGCTTGTAGGGTCCTTTTTAGTCCTTTGAAGGCTTCAGGGAAGCCTCCTGAAGGTCCCTGAAGCCTCCAGAGACTTAAACTGACCCTGTGAGTAAACCAGAAGTCCGTTCCCGAACTTCAGGTTTGCCCATAGAGTTTAGAGTTTTATTTCATTTGTATGCTGCCCTTTTCCCTGAGGGGACTCAGGGCGGCTCACAACTCAAAGGGAAGGGGGATACAGACAGTTTAACAACAACACAAAACAATACATAATTTAAAAAGCGCAACAATCATACCATTCAAGATAGGGGCAATGATTCTTTAGCCCCAGGCCTGTCGGAACAGCCAGGTTTTAAGGGCTATGCGGAAGGCCTGGAGGGTTGTGAGGGTACGAATCTCCACAGGGAGTTCGTTCCAGAGGGTCGGAGCAGCCACAGAGAAGGCTCTCCTCCGGGTAGTNTCGTTCCAGAGGGTCGGAGCAGCCACAGAGAAGGCTCTCCTCCGGGTAGTCGCCAGTCGACACTGGCCGGCGGATGGAATTCGGAGGAGGCCTAGTCTGTGGGATCTAATTGGTCTAGTGGAGGTAATTGGCAGCCTGGGTTTTTGCGCTCCAGAGGCTTCAGGGAAGCTCCTGAAGCCTCTGGAGGGCCCCACGGGGGAGGAGGAGGAGGCTCTTTTCGCCCACCCCCGGGTTCCTATAAAGCCTCTGGAGCCTGAGGAGGGCGAAAAATGGCTTTAAAAAAGGCTGAACTCAGTTGGACAGTGCGTGCATGCGAGCTGGTCAGCTGACAGGGCAACGCCTTGTGTGCCCTGACAAATGGCTCCGCGTGCCATAGGTTCGCCATCCCGGTTCCAGGGAGTGCCAGTACAGGCTGCACACAAGTTGTGGGAGGTTGGGGAGGTTCTGGGAAGTGGTGCAAGCCATGTGAAATATGGGACATCAGGGACGGCCTCTGGAGGCTCTACATGTGTGGGGAAGTAAAGAAAAAGCAGGAGTGATTTGCAACCTTCCCAGCAGGCTTTCCCACTGATTTTGGAAAGCTGGAAGTATGTTACAAAATGTTTATGGGATCATGGCTCCTGTGATGTTGCAATCATAGATTGGGCACACAAGTATACAGATTATAATCAACTGACCATGGAAATTCTGCAATGGCCAGAACCTCAGCAACTAGTCCATTTTTCCAGCCCCATTGTAACTTTCAACAATTGTTGAAAGAATGGACACTCGCCAAGGATTACCTGTACTGAAACAGAACAAGCATGCAGAAAATTTGTGTAGCTCTACAAACTATTGATATAATTCAAAATTCTAAAAACCATTCCAACCACATTAGAACTGAGAACAACATGGGATATACAAGATTTAATACCCAAAGCAGTCCAAACCCAATATGAAATGGTATTTTAACTGATAATATAAGAAGGACATGGAAAAAATAAAATAAGTAGAACTGATATCCTAGAGTTGTAGGGGGAAAATCTGCATCTCTTGTTTCTATTGTTGCAGGCCACTTTGAAGGGACTGGAGGCATCAAGCTTCACAAAAAAGTTAATAACAACTCATGCCCAGCTTATTCTTTCTCAATAACTATCAAAGTCTGTAATTCAAAATACTATTTTATGCCTTACAGGATCAGAGCCATTACACACTCTATTGAAGACTTTATTGAATTTTACACTAAGCTTTAGCTGACTGAACAGGTCAAACAGTATAGCATGGAGTTTTGCTTTATTCACAGAAATCCATAAGCTGTCTCCAGTCAGCAATGTGGTTTGCAAAGAAACTTGAATCAGCAAAGGGTCAGAGAGCCTGACCCTTTAGAAAAGGTCAGATAGTTTTCAAAGCTGGCTCCTGAATGCCATTAACTTACATGCACTAGTTGCTCCTGCATGTCAAACTCTCTTGAACAGCCTTCCCAATGGCAGTTTGTCTCATAGACCACTTCAGGTTCTTGCTTGCTTTCATCTTTCTCCCCTTCCTCCTTTACTGAGGTCATTCCTTCCGGTGGTTCCTGTCAGGGCCACGGAAGTGAGGAAGCAGATGAAAAAACAAACACTTAGGTCTTAACTTATTCAATGTTTCTAGTATTATTGTAAAATAACCAAGCTAATATTGGGACTTGAAAAAAGAAAAAGATACATTTTAGAATACTTGTCTACAATCCTTAATCTTTCTTCCAAACCATGTAAAATTTCTCAACTTTGAAATAAAAATAAAAAATAAAATAAAAATTAGAAAGTCTGTTACAGATTTGTCTTCTTGTTCAGACTAAGACCACTTCTGATAAAGTTTTAAACCTTTGCTAACAGAACTGTAAAACAGAGCAATACTTTTAGAACTATCAGCTGTTATACAAAAGAAGCTATTTTAAATGTAAACCAGTATTGGCTATGCAGCATGATATGAAGAAAACTGTTCAGAAAAGGAGTCCAGCTCCTTAGCCACAGCTTTTAAGTCAGTGGTTCTCAACCTGTGGGTTGGGACCCCTTTGGGGGTCGAACGACCCTTTCACAGGAGTCACCTAAGACACATATTTTCGATGGTCTTAGGAACCGAAAAACCAATTTTATGGTTGGGAGTCATCACAACATGAGGAATTGTATTAAAGGGTCGGGGAATTGGGAAGGTTGAGATCCATTGTTTTAAGTTATCAATGATGTGCAATCTGTACTCAGCAATTGTTCATATTATCTCAATTGATCAATTTTATTACCACTGGAACTGCTATTTAAAGCAAATGTTGATTTCTTAGAATAAAAATGACAATTTAATGACGTGATTCCTAAACAACACCTATATAGAGGTTGATTTATGAACAAATTCATGATCACAGGAAGGCAGTTTTTTAGAACCTCACTTACTGTCTTTTTATGGGAGGGGGCAACAAATATCCAAACAAGGAGGTACCAATGTCATGTTTGTGGACTTGGGCTTGGATTCTCAGATTTTAGAGAGAGAAACTGAGGATGGTCTTTTAAAAAAATCATTTTCAGGGCATACATTAACATTTTGAGGTATTTCAAGCTTCAATCTAATGAAAGATTGCTCCCCTCAACTTGGGGTTTTGAAACAGCCTTTATAGGATTCAATTTTTCCTGATCAAGCAACCAATAACTGCCACTGTTAAATGTTATGCAAAGACTAGTAGTATTAGTAGATGTAAAGTATATGCTTTGGCAAAGATTACTCACAAAAACAATTAATGCAAAATGTGCCCTCTTCCTAGGACAGATAAAAGCATAGTTTACCTGCATGCATCCAGCTCCTGGGCTGGGGAGCTCATCGTCTGGTTTTATCTTGGAACGCTTGTTATGCATTGGGTCTCCTGTGCTGCTCACTGCAGACTCACTTGTGGGCTTACTCTGAAGCACATATTTATATCCAAAAGATATAAGTAGACTTTGAATTAAAATACAATACTTCCAGAATATTCAAAGAAGATTTATTAAAGTTCACTAAGTTCAGATTTCTATCATTGAGATTATGATCTTGATTTCTCTTCCATTTTCAAAACTATAATTTCTCATTAATGCATTTACTTAGAGAAAAAACATGCTGATTGAATGCTATATAATAATTTATATAATTTCTTTATATAAATTATTATATAAGAAAATAAACCCTTATCACTGAAAGTTTTCTGAACTCAGTGACAAACCAGCCCAACACAAGAAAAAAGGATAAACTGTTTATCTACAAAACTTTATTACTGTAGTCCATGTATATTTGCCTGGATGACATTTTACATGTTTTATTATTTACTTAAAAAAAAAACCGTTTTTCATTTTTCTTTTATCTAAAGGACCCATTTTGCTATCTTCTACTAGAAAAAGGTAGACATACATTTACTTAAACAAATATTGAGCAGAATTAGTTTATTCAATATATGTTCTGAATTATATTATTATAATTTTATAGTCTCTTAGTTTAGGATGGCCATGATCTGCAATGAATTAACATAGGATCTTTGAATGAAATGGGATGAAGACAGCAGAATCTTACAAATTTGCTAACATGGCTTTATCCCTCCATAGAGAATGGAATATCATGTCCATTGATTTGGGAATTATTATATTGGCACACTATGTTTTTTCAAATTGTCTGCTTCTTTGCTAATTAACTTAGCCTCTTGGAATTTTCAGATGGTACTCCTGGAAATTTGAGAATTACCTAGCTTAGTATTCTACTAAGAGTAACTGAAGTATAAAGCAAGAGAGAAATTGCTGTTCCTAACACAACACATGTTCATGAGTGTCTTGGTCCTAATCTTTGATTCAACAATTAGAGAGATTTTTATCTTTTACCATCTTCAGCAGGGGTATAAATTGTATCCCTTTGCTGTTCAAAGATCCTTTGCCTGAACATTCTGAAACTGTAAGTTCCTATACACTAAACCTGGAAGTTATTGAAATATTTATAAGGGATGGAAAACCCTCCATAAATTCAAAAGCATGATGTACTCTAAGTAATTTATAATAGAAGACTGCATACATTGCAGCCCCAAGATACTTGTTAGCAAATCTGTTCTAAGAGCTGTGATGATTAATGGCTACTGTGGACAAGTCAGTATGGTACAAAAAAATGTCCTTATATTCCCTTACCTGTGCAGCCTCTGAAGGATCTGAGCTGACCTGAACAGGATTCAAGACATTAGGGATGCCAGGAATAGGCCTCTGTGTAGGAAAGGTTGGAGCAGGATGGATGAGTGGAGGACTATGCCCAAAGGCTGAACCCAGACTTTGCTGTCGACTGATGATCTGTTGATGCATCTGCTGGAGGGATACTGGTGTGGGAGGGTATGCAAAACTTAGCGCTGGGCTGCATTATGACAGGGAAAATAGAAGTAAGTGTAAGTAAAAATTATTTAGGGAATTGAGTCAAGAGATATGTGAATTATTATTATGTTCAAAACAAGCATAGGTTTGCCTTAACTGATGCTTTCACTAGAGATGACAAGCATATTTCAAATCATGTACCAGCTTTATATGGAAGTTATCACTGTGAATATTTTTGTAAGTGAAGAATTAAAGTTAAAACTAGTTCACATGTGGCGCTCTGATATAAGTGCAAACAGCATGTAAACCGATTAAATTATTTTTTTCAAATCTGGTGGTAGATAACTTTTTTCTTTAAAAAAATACTGTAATCCACTTTTATTTGAGATGTTTCAAACTCATCCATCTCCTTCCACTGGACATACAACATAAATTCTGTTAATTTGTTATTCATATTCCCCACATACAGGACCTCCTGTATATCTGTCATGCTTTATTTCCACAGATGAAAAAAATGATACGATAATTCTTTCTATTCTGAATAATGAATATATCAAATGTTCTCCTAAGGCACCTAAATGAAAAGACATTTCTTCTGCATGTGGGGGTTATTTTTGTCCTCTTCCAACAAAATATTTCGAGAAATACCAAAATATTTCGAGAAATACATACAAGAAATCAACTAAATTGGCTAGATGGATATCAGAAGCTACAACAGAGATTGTAGAAGAAAGGAGAAAAGCAAAAGCCTGGGTGACAGAAGAAATGCAAAGATTAAATGCAAAATTCCAGAGAGAGGCAAGAAAAGACAAGGACAAGTAAGAAACTGAAATAAGCAGCAATGAGGAATCATATAAGAGAATATTTCACTTTTGTGAAGGCCAGAAATCAGTTTATGGCAAGAAAGACTATGGTCACAGGGCATGATGGGCTGGAATTGCACGACCAATAAGTAATTAGAGAAAGATTGGGGTATGTGTGTGTGGAATAAGCAGAACAACTTTACACAAATGAAAAACAAGGCCAAGCCATAAATGGAAAACCTGATCTACTAGAAATGGAAGCTGATATTCTGGAGGAAAAAGCAGTGCAGACACTCAACCAGTTGCCTAACCACAATGCCCCAGGAGTTGATGGAATTCCTGCAGAATTGTTGAGACCACTGCCAACAAAAATACTGATAGCACTTTGGCAAAGTGTATGCCAGTCTTGTCAATGGCCAAAAGAATGGAAAAGATCAATATTTATTCCAATACCAAAGGAAAGAGATACGAAAGACTGTTACAACCATTGAATCATAGCCTTGATGCTATATATGCAGTGGTGGGATTCAAAATTTTTTGCTACCGGTTTTGTGGCCATGGCTTTGTGGGCATGGCAGGGGAAGGATACTACAAAATCCCCATTCCCTTCCCACCCCAGGGGAAGGATACTACAAAATCCCCATTCCTTCCCCACTCCACTAAGCCTGCTTTCCAACAACATTCTCCTGTTCAGCGCAACAAAAGAAGAACAGCTAGGAAGCAGCGGGGGGGGGGGGAGTCTATTTGCCAGTTCTCCAAACTACTCAAAATTTCCACTACTGATTCTCCAGAACCTGTCAGAACTGGCTGAATACCACCTCTGCATATGTGAGTAAAACTCTCTTGAAGGTAAACCAGCAACATTTGAATCCAACCACCAACAGAAAAATGCCTGATTCAGGATTTTGGAAAGGAATGTGTGATCATATTGTCAGTCTCTGCTGGATGATGGAAAAAACAAAGGAATGCCAAAAAGACCTCTAGATGTGCTTCATTGACTAGACAGAAGCCTTCAACTGTGACCATGACAAGCTCTGAAACTGCTTCAAAGAATTGGGATATTACCATACCATATCCAGCTCATCCAATCATTGTACTGTGATGTAAGAATGGAACATGGAGACACAAAATGATTCTTAAATGAAAATGGCATTCAGCAAGGTTGCATCCTGTCTCTTATACTGTTCAACATGTACACAGAGATAGATGCATATTTGGAGGAATCTAATGGTAGCAATATCAACAATCTCCTATATGCATATGATTCAACATTGCTTCAAAAAGCAGGGAGGACCTGCAGTGGTTAATTCTTACAGTCAAAGATGAAATGAAAAATTTGAAGTGAACATCAGGAAAACAAAGATAATGACAACTGAGGCATACACACAGATCAAAGTGGACATTGACAATGAGACCATTGAAACAGTAAAGGAATTTATCTTCCTGGCCTCTAAAATAAACAAAAATGGTAACTGCAGCCCTGAGATCAAAAGGTATATAGTCACTTGGAAGAATTGCAACATTGGCATGAATAACATCTGGAAGAGTAAAGACATCAGACTCATAACGAAATGCAGATTAGTTAAAGCAATAATTTTTTCAATTGCTACTTATGGTTGCAAAACTTGAGCTCTGAAAAAGGCAGATAAGAGAAGGTGGATGCCTTTGAATTATGGTGTTAGAGGCAATTATTATGCATCCCATGGACTGCAAAAATAATAAAGAAGTCCTAGCCCAAACTTCACTAAAATATCACTTGAATCCAAGATTGCCAGACAAGGCTGTCATTTTTTGGGTCATGTCATGCAAACTGATCCACTCGAAAAATAAATCATGCTGGGAGTGATCAGTGGAAAAGGGAGAAGGGGGCTGCTAGGATCTGCTGGATGCACATGGAGAGTACTGATCCATAGAATGGCCAAGGGTCAGACACAACTGAATGGCTTACAATGACGATTCCAAATTTAAATGCTTGTCCTCTTGGGACTGTTAGAATAATACTGTACTACTCTGAATAATGTAACAATCTGTGTCAAATTCAAAATAATTTGTATATCCAATTTTGTAAATTAAAAGATAGAATCAAGTGAAAACTGATAAAAATCAGCTGCTGTAGAATGAAGACAATCTAAGATAAAATGATGTTAATCATGCAGGATTTACTTCCAGAAAATCTAAGTTGAAGAGTCCCTTTAGTAATAAGATGTAAGAGAGGCAATAGCAATTGGTAAACCATAATATTATAAGCAGTTCTTACTATTATTACTAAGTATATTACTATATACTGGAATCAATTTCTAGACATTAACTGACAGTATATAGCAGTGATGGTCAACCTTTTTGGCAACCTGGAACAGCAGGTGGCGATGGTGAGTGTGGTCACAGAGAGGGCTCTGGGTGTTACCTCTGGCACACGTGCCATAGGTCACCATCACAGTTATATAGCAATAATTAGGACATCAGAGCAGAAAAGGGAATAACTGAGTTACAATTGAAGTCTTAATCAACAATGAAATTTTCTGAATTTCTCTGTGCCTTTTTCTGACTATGTTGCTGAGATATAAGATGACACAGTTTCATAAACATGTGTTCCTCAAACCATTTTAATAGTTTTATTTTAGTATAATCTAACAGTCCTTAAGTTACTCAGAACAATTTCTTATTTTCATCTAGATCCAATCATGTGAATGGGAGAAGGAAAAATAGTCCTATATAATTTTATTAAAGAGCAGTTTTCTTTGAAATAGATTAACACACACAAACACCTAAACACACCTGTACATGTACATGTGTTGATATTGTATTTTAATACCTCAAAGAGAGTAGTTACACTTATTCTGTCCCATGGCTACTGCAAGCATGATGAATGGCTTGTATACTGAAGAATAAATTGAATAAACTGGCAAAGAGCTCACTGAACATGAAATCAGCTATTAGAAGAATGCTTGTGAACAAATTCTGAAGCTGATATGCATCTTTTGATTAACATCCTATCAATCATCCATGGAAGCTACCTTAGCTAAGTTGTACTGTAATCATTCATGATTGCTGAAAGAGCACAAGCAAAGACTGCAGGGTTGCAACTGCTGAATATTATTACCTATTTCTCTCTGCCTCCTGCAGTGAACAACTATTGCGTAGGAGATATTTTTGTCCCTTTATTCAAAAAGTACAATGCTAAACTGAGATTTTCTTAAAACCTGCAAGATCACTTCAGCTTTTCCTAAATGGGTAACTTTTATAACAGAGGAATCTCCTAGAATAATAGTAACTTAATTATACTGAAAGGTCCATTTTAAAAATTAAATGGTAAAATATATAATTTTTTAAAAAATTAAAATGTGGTTAGCTTTTTTTTACATAATTCAGAATAGCATTTTCTGTTAATCTGCTTAACTACATCGATAACTCCAGAGAGTGACGTTAAATCTACCATGTGTATGTTCATTTTTCCACATACAGTATGTGTATATGTAATATAAAGCATAGAGTTATTACATTTTTTAAAGAAAAAAACCAAAGCTTTAATTTTCAAGTTAAGCTATTCCATTATATGAATTTTTTTGAGTTTTAATTACAGAACATTCAGTTTTATATGATATAATAAATTTTTACCATAGGATGCTTTTAGGCCTGAGCAAGGTCTAAGAAATACTGTAATGAAGTGATTACAAGCATTAGCATGCAGAATAGACTTTAATAAACATTTATTGCTATTTGAAAAGTACATGGGCACTTTTTACTGCAATATTTTGACACTCTCATTGATCACTAATTTCAAAGGGGAGAAAGATTAATCCATCAGGCTTTCTGCCAAGAAGGTACTGATATAAATTCTTTAGGTGACATTCTGAATGATCTGAGCTTTCCATCTTTGCAAACAAATGTGTGATATGGCAAACATAGTGTTCAAACCACATTTAACCAATTGATTTTATCTCCTGCCCTAATAAGATCTATAGAGATATAAATGAGTGAACCCCAAGCCAAGATTAAAAACTGCTTCGTAAGAGAACATAACAGAGCAACATAAAGTAATAAGGTTACTGTAAAACATCATATCATCTATTATTTTCTTCAGTTAAAATTCATTATTGTAATAAATATTGTAACTAAACAATATGGTTTTTCTTATTGTTTTCTTAAATGTTTGTTCAGGCAAGTTTTGCATATTCTTATAAAATGATTAACATTTTTTAAAACTTTAGAACTTATACTGTTT